TCCTGCTGATTTTTATTACTTTTTTTTTTCTACTAATTCCATTATGATCTGAAAAGATTATCTGTATGATTTCAGTCTTAAGTTTAGTGAGACTTTTTGGGGGACTAACATACGGTCTATCCTGGAGAATGTTCTGTGTATACTTGAGAAGAATGTATGTATTCTGCTTTTACTGGGTTTTCTTAGACATATGTCTGTTATGTCTATATATGTCTATTAGGTCTCTTGAATTTCTTTACATTATTGACCACCTGTTTTGATTTTCTGTCCATTATCAAACGTGAGGTATTGAAGTCTACAGCTTTTATTGTAGAACTTTCTATTTCTTTCTTTAGTTGTCAGTTTTTGCTTCGCACATTTTGGAGACAGTATTGTTCGGTGCGTATGTTTATAATTGTTAACTCTTGGTGAGTGGACCATTTCATTACTATACAAGGTCTTTTGGGGAGATCTCGTAACAGTTTTTGGCATAAAGCCTGTTTTGTCAGTACATGAGCCCTAGATCTCTTTTGGTTGTTCTTTACATGGAAACCCACCCACCTAGAGGGAGACCTTTGCTCAATCTCGCTCCTGCGGACTTCTCTTGGTGGCTCATTGGGCAGAAAAGGATCACGTGTCCATTCCTGGAGCTGTCACAGTGGGCACAGGGGACTCACCTGGCGCATCAGCCAGCCATCATGTCAGTTGAGTAGAGATGGAGGCAGTGGGGGTGGACATTAAACCTGACCCGAGGGCCTCGTCACGGGGTCTGGACCTCACAGGACAGGTATGGGGTTCGGTCAGAGGCCCTAGGACGACCTTGCAGAGTATTCCTAGGAGGAATTTTCTCAGATGTCTGTTGAGAAAAAAATTGTAAGACAGCCACTTATTTTGTTGTTGTCATTGAACTGACCTTTTGATTTTACTTTGGATGCTAGGAAACTTTGAGCTAAATTTGTTGCTCATAGCAATTATGGTACATTGTGGCATTTTAAATCTTGCATTAGCTTGTTTTTTCCTTCACTTTTTTCAGTTAAATATGCCATTTATGAACTTTGTAATCATTTTAAAGAAAAAAGTTGAACTTGTAGATTTCTAAATACAGAAAATAATTCTAATTATTAAATTGTTTTAAAGAGCTTAAAGTAATGTGAAATTGAACACGTATTGAATACACTAATGATAGAAATTTATAGCTTAATTTAAAAGCAGATTATTTTTTATAAAACATTTCTAGAAGTTACAAAGTATAAAACATGTTTATATATCTTAAAACTCAGTATATTTAGCTGATGTGATAGGAAATATGAAAGAAATTCAAGAGATTTTTCTCCATTTTTTGATCTTGTGTGAAATTCTGGAAACTAAGTTTTTGGAATGGAGAATATTAAAAATAACCTTTTAATTTTCAAAAGTTAATTTTAAGGCAGACTTGAGTCTTCATCTGTAATAAAATCATTTTCCTCTGGGAGTCCACTCCACCTGTGGGGCAGTGGGGCTCTGAACCAGGTCTGTGGCCAAATCACTAGGCATTTTGGGGGTGGTTGTCAGTTCCTTACGGGGGTCATTTCCTGGTTCTTCCTGGCACCCGCACTTTCTTCCCACCTCAGTCTACAATGACCAAGTTGGGTCACAGGTCACACTGGGAAAGGGGCCTTAGTTTCCTTAGAGGGGTTTGGCACCCTCACCCCTTTGGCTGCGGGCCAGGTTTATTTCCGAAGGGTTCCAAGTGGGGAGCTGTGGGGAGTTGTGAGAATTTTTCAACATACTCATCTGGTCTTTTGTGATGTGGAAATGGTCATTTAACCATTAATGTTCTCCTTCAATAAAGGTATCTTCTCCATTTAGAGTGAAAATAGGATGAAGTAAGTTTTGTAAAACTCCAAAGAAAAGGTGACACAAGGATTTTTAGAAACAAATAGTTTAATTTCATTTTCATCTTTGAAAATAACAAATATATTTAAAATGACATGTACTTTGGCATGTCATTGTGTGTCATTTTTAACGGTACATTTGAAACAGAATACATAACTTTTATAAATCTCTGGAATCAAAGATGAAGATGAGAACTGATAGGTTTAAAATGTCAATTTAGTAAATAGTTCATTTTGCTCTTTGTGTCTGTGGGAATATTTGGTAGAAACACTGTACAAAGTAAGGCAGACATCTGGAAAATTCATTTAAATTTTTAGGAAAAAAGTGTTCAGTGGAAATTCCTTTCCCTCTGCAGGCGACTCCGCAAAGCCCATCAGGTGCTGAGAGCAGCTGTAGCGGTCTGGGTGATACAGGAGGAATCCGATCTCCTGTAGCTCTAGAATCAGATCCACAGAGAAAACAGGTTTTCAAAACAGGTTTAATACACAAATAAAAAAAATCTTAATTTTCATCATGAGAGTATACCGTACAATGCATAGGGAACAAATGAGTCATGGGAATTTATTAAAATCGATGAAACCTTTTCAAATTCATTTAAATAAGACATTGTAATAACTGCTGTTACAAGTAGGACATCACTGTGAGAAGATGTAAATCAGACAAAGGGAATTCCAGGTAAGTGGGAAGGAAAAGGGACAGAAGACAAAAGAGAAGTTGGGGAGGAGAGGAAAGGGGAGTTGGGGAGGTAGGGGTCAGAGGAGGGAGAGGAAGGGGAGGGATGGAGGGGAGGAAGGGGACTTAGGGGAGGCCATGAAGGGAGGAGACTGATGGATGGGGGGAAGAGAGGGAGGGGAAGGGGAGGTGACAGGGAGTGCAGTGAGGGAGGACAGGAAGGTGAGGGTTTGGGGAGGGGAGGAGAAGGACTTAGGAGAACGGGAGGGAGAGGACAGATGAAGGGGAGGAAGAGGGGATAGGGAGGGGCCTCGGAGGGGAGGAAGGGGACTTGGGGAGAAGGGAGAGGTTGGGGAGGGGACATAGTGCAGTGAAGGAGGAGAAGAAGGGCTTAGGGGATGTAGGGAGGACAGGAAGGTGAGGGGACTTAGGGGTGGGAGAAAGAACTTAGGGAGAGGGTGGAGGGAGGAAAGGGACTTAGGGGTGACAGGAAAAGAGGGAGGGGACATAGGGGAGGAAGGGAGGAGAAGGGACAAGAGATAAGGGAGGGAGTGGGGGAGGGGAGAAGAATTAGGCGAGGAGGAAGATAGGTGAGAGGAAGGTGACTTTAGGGAGGGGACATAAAGGATGGGAGGATAGGGAGGGAGAGGGCAGAGTAAGGGACTTAGGGGATGAAGGGGAGAAGGGAGGGGAGGTGACAAGGAAGAATGGGTGTAGAGGGCGGGGACATAGGAAGGAAGGGGAGGGACTAGGGGAGTAGGGAGGAGAGGAAAGTGACGGAGGGGGGGCGAGTAATGGAGGGGTTCTGGGGAGAGGATGGGGAGGAAGATGACGGGAGGGAGAAGAGGATGGGGAGGAGACTATCAGGGGAAGTAGGGAGGAAAAGGGGACTTAAGGATGGGAAGGGAGGAAAGGGACTTAGGGGATGAAGGAGAGAAAGGCGACTAATGGAGGGATGTTGGGGAGGGGGGAGCAGAGACTTAGGGGGA